TTGGCTATATGTCTTGATTTTTGGCTTAATTTGTATTTTAGTAACAAAACACAATGCCCAAGAAAACACAATGAGTATAGTGTTAATGTGGTTCCCTCTTTCTCTTACAGTCTCTCTCTATCTCTCTCTCTTTCTGTCTCTCTCTTTCAGTCTCTCTTCCTCCCTCCCTCCCTCCCTCCCTCCCTCCTCTTCTCTTTATCTGACACTGAAAGTGCAATGAAGACTTTGTAGGTATTCTGTCTTTTTTTATTATTATAAATGATAAAATTACTATACAAAGTAATGGGTTTTGTTCTGTTTTTCATATAGTGTCAGTATACAGTGTTCTGATTCTCTGCCATCTCTGTCTTCACCCTTTATTCCAATCAGTATACATACACTACTCTGTACTTGGAATGGAAAATTCTCTGCTTGAGGCTAAAACTTCTGGAATGGACACTGGGCCCTATCCTTTACATTGAATTCTAAAGTGTTTCCATTCCATCTTTGCTACTGAAATCAATGTTTCCTCTCTTCACTCATCACAGATTATCTTTCTTTTCTTTTTCTTTTCTTTTTTTGGAGTCAGGGTTTCTCTGTACAGCTTTGCACATTTCCTGGAACATACTCTGTAGCCCAGGCTGGCCTCGAACTTACAGAGATCCGCCTACCTCTGACTCTCGAGTGCTAGGACATAAGTCATGTGCCACCACCGCCCAGCTCACTCAAATCATAGGATAACTGCTCTTCAGCTATCCCTAGTTTGTTTCAACCAATTCCAGTATTGTGTGACAAGGTGTTATTTGTCATCAGTCCAAAATTATGTTTCATTTTAAGTTTTAAAGACAGGGTTCAGTGTTAAATTTTCTTTTTACTGTATGTAGCTTTAGATGTGTGTTTCCACTACCATGTGCTGCAAAAGATTTTCTATCATTTCTCAATGGTATTGCCTTTGATCTTTTGTCAATGAATCACTGGTTCTATTTCTGTGATTATCTTTCTAGCCCTACTATTGTTTGCCATTCATCCCTTAAAGTTCTTCCATCAATACTAAATATCAATGATTGGTTTATCTTTGTATTAAGTCTTGAAGCATTAGTCCTCTGTTTTTCCTTAAGTGTTGTAATGGTACTTCTGTGTATTTTCTTCTTTCAAGTGAACATCATAGTCAGTTGTTTAGATATTTAAAAAATAAATGGAGGGGGTTTGTTGAAAATTCACTGATTTTATATGGATCAAGTTAGGGACACTTGGGGTGATAGTTATTATAATCTGTCAATTCAACTGAATTAAAAGATGCCTAGCTTGGTGGCATGCATATATATAGTCTGTGAAAAATGCTGAACAGAGACTGCACTGCAGGTGACTATGGTTGAACTACCTAGCTACTGTCACATAAGCCAATCTAACAAGTTCCTTTTTATAATATGTGCATGCATATACTGTATGGATTCCTTCTCTCTAGAGATAAAACCCTGCCTAGTGCAAATGCAATTTTAACAATAGGAAACAGAAAGTATTGCTCCATTACTTTACACATCTTTAACCTGCTCCATCAAAAGTTTGTAGCTTTATTCCAGAAAATTTCATATGTATTTTATTATGTTTGCATTATAAACTCATATAGATATTAATGTGCTTTTAATTTCATATCCCACTTATTCTTTGCTAATAGAAGAGGATTTTTCATATTTTTTAAATTTATTCTTCTGTAATATATTACATCCCAATGGGAGTTTACCCTACCACCAGTCCTGACAGTTCCCCTCTCCTCTCTCCCTCAGATCCTCTCCTCCTCTGTTTCCCTTCATAAAAAAACTTGGGGAAATCAAGTGAGCAAAACATAACAAGTTACAATAGTACTAAGCACAAATGCTCATATCAAGGCTGCCAGAAGCAACCCAGTAGGAGGAAATGGGTCCTGAGAGCAGGCAAGAAAATCATAGACAACCCCCACTCCCACTGTTAGGAATCCCACAAGAACACCAAGGTAAGCAACCATAACATATATGCAGAGGACCTAGCTCAGACACATGCAGGCTGTGTGATTGTTGCTTTAGTTCCTGTGAGTCACTATGAGCCCGACTTAGTTGATTTTGTGGGCCATGTTCTCATGGTGTCCTCCAACTTCTGGCTCCTACAATCCTCCTTCCCCTTCCTTTCCTGGGTTCCTGAAGCCCCACCTAATATTTGGCTATGTATCTCTGTATATGCTCTCATCAGTGGGTAGATGGAGCCTCACTGATGATGACTGGGCTAGGCACCAATCTATGAGTATAGCAGAAAATCATTAGGAATCATTTCATTGACTTTTTTCTGGCACTTGTGTTTGGTTCTGTCCTAGGTCTGTTCCTGGTGATCCAGATAGTGATAAGCATGCTCCCCTCTTGTAGTGTGGGTCTCAAGTTTGACCAATCATTGGTTGAACATTCCCACAAGTTCTGTGCCACCATTACCACAGCACATCTTGTAGGGAGGACAAATTGTAGGTTGGCAGTCATATAGCTGGGTTGATGTCCCAGTCCCACTGCGGGAATCCTTGACTGGTTATAGAAGATGGCCAGTTCAGGGTCCATATCCCCCATTACTAGAAGTCTTTGCTAGAGTCATCTTCATTGATTCTAGTCATCTGTCCTAGTACTCTCCAGCTCCATACCTTCCTCCATAACTCCCCTCCTGATCCCACATGTTCCCATCACCACATGCTCCCAGTCCACACACCAAATCTACCCTATTCCCCCTTCCTAGGGAAATCCATTCATCCTCCCTTGAGCACTCCTTGATACTTATAGCCTCTCTGTGTCTGGAATATAGCATGATTATTCTTTACTTAAAAGCTAATATCCATTTATAAGTGAGCACATACCATGTTTGTCTTACTGGGTCTGGATTACCTCAATCGGGATGATTTTTTCTAGTTCCATTCTCTTGCCTGCAAATTTAATGATGTCATTTTTTTAACAGCTGAGTAATACTCCATTGTGTAAATGTACCACATTTTCTTTATTCATTTTTCAATTTAGGGACATCTAGGTTGTTTCCAGTTTCTGGATATTGTGACTAAAGCTGCTACAAATGTAGTTGAGCAAGTGTCCTTGAGATAGGATGGAGTGTTCTTTGGTGCAAGAGTGGAGTAGCTGGGTTTTGAGGTATATTGACTCCCAATTTTCTGAGGAATCATGTGTTAATTTCCATAGTGGCTGTACAAGTTTTCACCCCCACCAGCAATGGAGGAGTGTTTGCCTTGCTCTGCATCCTCTCCAGCATGAGCTATCACTTGTGTTTTTCATTCTAGCCTTTCTGACAGGTGTAAGATGGAATCTCAAAGTAGTTTTGATTTGCACTTCGCTGATGGCTAAGGATGTTGAACATTTCTTTAAGTGTTTCTCAGCCATTTGGGACTCCTCTGTTCAGAATTTTATGGTTAGATCTGTACCCCATTTTTAATTTGATTTTTTTATATCAAGTTTCTTGAGTTCTTTACAAACTTTGGATACTAGCTCTCTGCAGGATGTGGTACTGGTGAAAATCTTTCCCCTTCTGTTGGCTGCTCTTTTGTTCTATTGACAGTGTCATTTGCCTTACAGAAGCTTTTCAGTGTCATTAGATCCCATTTATTGATTGTTTATTTTAGTACCCACACTATCAGTATTCTGTCCTCAAAGTTGAATCCTGTGCCAATGAGTTCAAGGATATTCCCTACTTTCTCTTCTACCAAGTTCAGTGTATCTGGTTTTATTATGTTGAGGTCTTTGATCCACTTGGACTTGAATTTTGTGCAGTTGATAGATATGGATCTATTTGCATTCTTCACATGCAGACATCCAATTAGACCAGCACCATTTGTGGAAGATGCTTTCCTTTTCAATTATGTATTTCTAGGTTTATTATCAGAAATCAGGTTGTCCATAGGTGTGCAGATTTATGGCTGCATCTTCAATTCAATACTATTAGTGAATGTGTCTGTTTTTATTCCAGTGCCATTCAGTATTTATTACTATAGCCCTGTAGTAGAGCTTGAAGTCCGGGGTGGTGACACCTCCAGAAGTTCTTTTATTGTGCAAGATTGTTTTAGCTGCCCTGGATTTGTTTTTCCTTATGGGAAGTGATTTGAATCTGTAGATTGCTTTGGGTAAGATGGCCATTTTTACTTTGTTATAGCCATATGTTAATCTTTCTAATCCATGAGCATGGGAGATCTTTCCATCTTCTGATATCTTCTTCAATTTCTTTCTTCAAAGACTTGAAGTTTTATCATGTAAGTTTTTCACTTGGTTGTTTAGAGTTACCCAAGATATTTTATATAATTTGTGGCTATTGGGATAGGTGTTATTTTCCTGATTTCTTTCTCAGCCCATTTGTCATTTGTATATAGGAGGGCTACTGATTTTTTTTTTTAGTTAATCTTGTATCCAGCCACTTTACTGAAGATGTTTATCAGCTGGAAGAGCTCCCTGGTAGAATTTTTGAGTCTCTTTTGTATGCTATCATTCATCTGCAATTAGTCATACTTTGACTTCTTACTTTCTTTTTTTTTTTTTTTTTTTTTTTTTTGGTTTTTCGAGACAGGGTTTCTCTGTGTAGCTTTGTGCCTTTCCTGGGACTCACTTGGTAGCCCAGGCTGGCCTCGAACTCACAGAGATCCGCCTGGCTCTGCCTCCCAAGTGCTGGGATTAAAGGCGTGCGCCACCACCGCCCGGCGACTTCTTACTTTCTAATTCATATAATCTTGATCTCCTTCAGTTCTATTATTGCTCTAGTTTAAACTTCAAGTATTTCATTGAATAGATACAGAGAGAGTAGACAGCTTCATTTTATTCCTGATTTTGGTAAAGTTCCGTTGAGTTTCTCTCCATTTAATTTGACATTGGCTATCAGCTTGCTGTAAATTGCCTTTCTTATGTTCAGTTATGTCCCTTGTATGCCTGATCTCTCCAAGACTTTTATCATGAAGTGGTGTTGGATTTTGTCAAAAGCTTTTTCAGCACCTAATGAGATGATCAAGTGTTTTTTTCTTTCAGTTTGTTTAGATGGTGGATAACATTGACTGATTTTCATACGTTGAACCATCCCTTCATCTCTGGTATGTACATACTTGACATGTATGATCTTTGATGTAGTCTTGAATTATGCTTGTTAGTATTCTATTGAGTATTTTTGCATCTATGTTCATAAGGTAAATTGTTCTATAATTTTCTTTCTCTGTTGAAATCATGCAGTGTGTGGTTTGGGTATCAGGATCACTGTGGCCTCATAAAATGAATTTAGTCATGTTTCTTCTTTTTCTATTTTATGAAATAATTTGAGTAGTGTTTGTATTACCTCTTATTTGAAGGTCTAGTAGAAATTCTGCACTAAAACCATCTGGCCCTGGGCATTTTTTGTTTTAAGAGAATTTTAATGACTGCATCTATTTCCTTAGGGATTATAGATCTATTTAAATCATTAATCACATCTCTATTTAACTTTTTTAAGGGGTATCGATAGAGATATTTATCCATTTCTTTTAGATTTTCTGATTTTGTGGAGCATAGGTTTTTAAAGTACAACATAAAGATTATTTGGATTTCATAGGTAACTGCTGTTATGTCCCCCTTTTCATTTCTGATTTTGTTCATTTGCATATTCTCTCTTCTTTTTTAGTTAATTTGGATAAGCATTTGTCTTTCTTGTTGATTTTCTCAAAGAAGCAGCTTTGTTTTATTGATTGGGGGGTTATTGTTCTCTTTGTTTCTATTTTATAGATTTTAGCTCTCAATTTGATTAAATAAATGTAAATTAGACAATTAGATGAAGGCATGAAAAACTCTGAAGACTAGCCTCCAAAAAACACTTACACATTAGATCATGTGGATAAGAATTCTTACAGTAGGAACACAGACTAAATACGTATCTGTTCTTCACAGAGCCATGGAAACAACAAAGTGCATCCCTGATGAGTCTCAGTCCAAAAGCATAAAGAGGCAAGATCTCCAGGAGATGCTGACAGAAGTGGGATTGTCTGTTGACTACTGGCTGCCTAAGCTTCAGGAAGACCTGGGTGTGACCTGTGTCCAGGCTTTACAATACTTAGAAGAAAAAGATCTCCAGAAGCTGAAGTCCCAGTCACAACACACATGGGAAAAAAAGGCTCTGGAGAAGCTGCTTGACCTCTCACAGCCAAAAAGTGTTGCAGAGTTCCAGGAGACTCCAGGGGAAATGATAAAGAGCAGACAGAGGCAGGCAGGACAGGCACTGCAGGAACTGAGGACCCTGCAGTCAGAAGGGAAGAACAGACAGGAAGAAGCAGTGAGGAGGAAAGAAGCAGAGCTGAGACAAGCAATGGAGATCCCTGAAGAGTACTGGCCAAGGCCTGAAGTGCCCCTAAAAGATGTCACTGAAACAATGGAGAGGCATCTCAACCACATGGAACAGACACTGGCAAATACTCAAAACTTCTCAGATAGAGACCTGCTAAGATTCACATCTGGTGGGCTGGCCCTGCAGGGAATTTACAAGACCTGCCACCAAAAGGACCTAGTAGTAAGGAGAGAAGAACTACTAAAGGTCCCCAAGGAATTCTTCCTCTCTGGATCTGAGCAAGGAAAACGGATGGAAACAAAAGAATTCACATCTTCTAAAGAAGAATCCCTATTCACTGAAACTGTACAGAAGTTCGGTTTCAGGTTAACACTGTCAGCCAAGGGTGGAGGCTGGGGATTTCATTTAGAAGGTGGGATGGATAAAGTCAAGCATTCAAAATCTGAAGATGCTCACCAATCACATTCTAAGCACTCTTATTTCTGCTCATCAATGTTCAGCTACAACCCACTAGCCTCCATCCACTTTCGCAATGATCAGCTCCAGCTCTCCATTGCTGCCCTTAAGGAACTGAAAATCATTGAAGAAGAGCTGGAACACACTGATGGACCAGACAGATTCCTTGCAGTGAGGAACAGGACTGAAAACTTCTTCAACAGATTTGGCTCTCATGCTAATCAAGGCCCTCTGCACCTTGGGGGACTATACCGCTGGAAGGCTGTTTCAGAGGGTTTTGAGAGTGACCAGCTAGATTGTGTGAAGCAGCAGACAGCAGAGGCCTTGGAGAGTTACATAAGTGGGAGCTACAGTGGGTTTGGGATTAAAGTTGGTGGAGGTATGACAATATCAGACTCACATTCAGTAAGATCCTACAAAAATTCAAGGAATCAACAGCTCCAAATCAAAGTCCAATTATCTGTGGCCCAGATAGGAGGACCACCAGAAGCAAATGGAATTGTTCAGTGGACAACTGGCCTTCTTGCCAGCAATAAAACCTGGTCTGTCATTGACCGAGAATTTCAGCTGGTGCCCATTTGGGACATCATCCTGTCTAACCACAGAAGCAATTTTAAGGACCCCTTTCTGGTGGCTAATTGCCTGGCAGACAACTACTCTGCTCTGACAAGTGTTACTGCCCTTATCCAGGCTGGAGAGGAGTTGCTGAGCTCCATAAATGAAGCAGAACATTTCCTGGATGATGTGAAATCTTGGAAGGTCTCTGACCCTGAAGAACAGCTTAAGAACCTGATGGGTTTCATGCAAGCACTGGCTCATAAAACAAAAGGTTATGATGTTTGGATTAATACATGCCTCACAAATTGGCATCTACAGAATTTTCTCATAAGAACTGTCAACTTTTGCAAAAACTCTTCCACTAAAAAAACTCAGTTTATTAAATCTCAGTTCCGCAGCCTTCTAGAACCTCATGTTTACAAAGTGAAAAACTTTCCTCAGGCAAGTTCAATCATGCAGTGGATCTACCAGGAAGATTCAGAAGAACAGCAAGTCAAAATCACTGAATTGTCTGAATTCTTTAAAAATTTAAAAGAAATCCAAAAAACTCTCACAGAAGCACACATCAAATCTGAGTCACCAGAAACAGTGGAAGAGGCTCAAAGAAAGGCTACACATGATGTCACCACAGTTCTTGATGCCTTCTTGAACTATCTCAAAGAAACAGAGCAGCCAGACATGCAGCTGCTGCTACTCTCCATTGCAGCTGGTGCAGGCTATCAGCTGGAAAGTAATGTTTTCCAGCCTCTCCTTGGGTGTGCTGAGTTAAACTTCCTCCTGGATGAAATACAAGTTGTTCAACACAGATATCAGGAGCTCAAAACTATCTGCACTGACAGAGCACAGGCATTCCTGGTGCTCAAAACTCTGACAACCACAGTTGGAGTCTCAGGCATTTCTCCAAAAGAAAAAGCACAGCGCTTGACATTAACAAGACAGTACATAGAGCACTTATTGTCTACTAAAGTTGCACATGTCCTCACAAAATTTGAAACAGGTCATGATTGGGAGAATCTAGAGAAAAGTTTGAGATTACTCATTGATGGGAACTATGAAGACACCAGCTCTTCTCTGCAGATGGATGAGGTGAAAAAACAGTTGCAAAGTCTCCTGAGTAAAAAGAAAGAAACTTATGAACAAAAAAATGATGACAACAATGAAAAAGAGGGGATAGAAAAAGGACCTTTCCTAGACTTACTCCAGCGTCTAGGTCTAGAACATCACTACCCAAAAAGGATGAGCAGAGCTGACTTTCATCAGATCTATAAGACTTCTGTATACAATACACAGCCAAGATCTGAACAGGAACTTCCCTTTTATTTCCTACAAAAGCTACTGATGCTAGATTGTGGGTTCAGACATCTGGTCTTCAAAGAGGCTAAAAAGGCAGAAAGCCAAGATTCTGCAGGTCCCTCTAACCAGGAAATTGTTGATCCATATGAAGAGTTGTTTGATGACAGGGATGAAGACACTAGTTCTTTGGTCACTGAGTCCCAGCCCCACATTCACCCAATGGACATCCAGATGGCCATTTTTCACTGTGCAGATGATCTTGCCAGGCAGTATATTCTGTCCAAACTTTCCATTTGTCAATTTGCAATCCCCCTTGTGGTGCCAAGTCCCAACACTTCTCAAATTGAGTTCTCTCTCTGGTCTCTCAGACAAATTAGGAGAAGTTGGCAAGAGGCAAGTCAATCACAACAGGACAAAAGCTACAGTCACAAGAAACAGCAGATGTGCCGTGTCTCTACCCCCATTGTATCTTTCTTTAGAGTTGGAAATGGCCTCTCTGCTTCCAAATCTCAGCTTATGAACTCTCTCCTCAGTAGACATAAACATGATGTGTTTTTTCACAGACACTGCAGAGGAACCAGCAAACACTGTCTCCTGATGGAGGGAGTGGTAGAGATCAGCTGGTTCTGTCCTGGGGGCCAAGGCGAGGACATATTTGACAAGTGTGTGGCCTTCACCAATCTTCATGGAGATGCCAAGGAACACAGGAAACAACTCAGCTTCCTGCAGGATGCCTCTTCTCTCATGGTGATTCTCATGTCAGCTTCTGATAACAATAAAGAAAACCAAAATCTTGTCAGACACCTGTGGCAGTCATCAAAACCTCTGATCTGTTTGATTGATGACAAAGAAAAATTCACAACTAATAATTCTGGCAGAAGGGTGAGAATTGGCATTAGGAATAGAAATGAGGCAGAATTAACAGAAGAACTCATGACTACCATCCAACACTTAATAGAAATCTCTGGCACTGCTCTGAGCATAGAAGAATGTTCAGAGATTGCTCGAAAGCAAGGATTCATGATTGATGAAGACCAGAAAGAATTGAAGGAAGCCAAAGAAAAAGCACAGAGAAATAGGGAACTGCTAGAGCAATACAAGTTATCTAAGATAAAAGAAAACTTGCTGCCCCTTCAGGGACAACTGTGGCACCGTTGGTGTAAGAAGGACAAAGAACTCTATCACCTACAAGAAAAAGGGCATCGGAGCATTGAACAACACAAGAGTGAAATTGAAATAGAAAAGCAAAAAATACGAAGGCAGCAGTTTGAAAAGGCCTTCCCTCTCAATGATTTAATGCAGTCTGTCCTAAAAATTCTCCAAGAAGACTCAGAAAATGACTTCAAACTCTACTTCTTATACTGGTTAAGTGTGGTTTTGGAAAATCTAACCATGGAACACTTGGAGACTTTACAAGTAAAGCAACAAATTTTGTGGTTACAGGCAGAAAAGCAAAGGGCACAGAAGAGCAGCTCCATGACACACTGCCAGAAACAGATAGAAGCCATCTCTACTGAGATACTTGACTGCACTTTTGGAATTGAGCACCTTCTCCGTGAAGTTGCCCAGATCTATGAAGCTCTGGAAGAAATTTCCTCCTCTAGAAATAGCCTTTTTCTCTGCCTCCCCCAAATTGCTGCAGACCTGATGATAGCTGGTGTTCCCATTGAGCTGATGGATGGGGATGCTTCATATGTGCCTCTAAAGTGGGTGGCAGCTGTTTTTGACAAGATCTCAGAGAAAATTGGAGACAAAAGGCTGTTTGTTCTCTCTGTCCTTGGCCTGCAAAGCTCAGGGAAATCCACTCTACTGAATGCACTCTTTGGTTTAGAGTTCACAGTCAGTGCAGGCAGGTGTACCAAGGGGGCCTACATGCAGCTCCTGGAGGTAGATGAGAAATTCACAGAAGAACTCAGCTTTGATTTTGTGCTTATTGTAGACACAGAAGGACTTCGGGCTCCAGAACTCAACAACAAATCCCACAATTGGGACAATGAGTTGGCAACATTTGTCACTGGCCTTGCAAACTTGACTCTGATCAATATTTTTGGAGAGAATCCATCAGAGATGCAGGACATCTTACAAATTGTCGTCCAAGCCTTTCTGAGAATGAAACAAGTGAAAATCTCCCCCAGTTGCATCTTTGTCCATCAGAATGTGGGAGAAATTTCAGCAAAATCCCAAACTATGGAAGGACGAAGGAGACTGGAGCAGAGACTGGATGAAATGACAGCATTAGCTGCTGAACAGGAAGAGTGCTCCAACATAACTCGCTTCAGTGATGTAATTAAATTTGATGTCAATAATCATGTCTACTATTTTGCTCATCTCTGGGATGGCAATCCCCCAATGGCCCCTCCCAATCCACGATATAGCCACAATGTCCAGGAACTGAAGACTGGGATTCTTAGGCTTGCCCAGCAGGAATCCAGGGGAAAGATCATGAAGATCTCAGATGTAAAAATCCGTGTTCAAGATTTGTGGAAAGCCCTTGTCAGTGAGAACTTCATTTTCAGTTTCAGGAACACACAAGAGGTCATAGCCATGAGTAAACTGGAAACCATGTATAATCACTGGACCTGGGAGCTGAGGAGTTATGTGTTGGACCTTCAGAATCAGTTGAACAATCAGATTCAGAATGGGAAAATCTTGACACTCACAACTAATGCACTGGAGGGTCCAGTTAACAAGAAATATGAAGCCATCAAGCAAGAATTTGACAAGTATTTTGAAGAAGACCCAGATAGTGAAACATTGGTTCAATGGAAAGCAAATTTTGAACATAAGCTACTAATCCTTAAAGATGCTCTTATTTCAGACACCAGAACAAAAGGCAATGAACTTATCAGTCTTAAAAAAAGCCAAGAAACACTAGATAACAAAAAGTCACAATATGAAAATGAATTGTTAGAGAAAAGCCGAACGTTGGCTTTAAGTGTGAAGGGCAAAGAATTAAGTGATGAAGAGTTGCGTGAGAAATTTAATCAAGTTTGGACAAGTTGGATCTACGATGTGTCTTCTACTGTACCTCATGTCACAGAGCCTGACACTGATGGGGATGCTGAAAGCATTTTTCTATGGCATTTCAAAAAGGAAAAAAATATTGCAGAAAGACTTAAAAAACAGAATGGAGCAATGTTTGTCATCAATTATGATAAGCATGTCCAAATGAAAAAAAATTTTCTTCGATTTTCAAAGAGTTTAGAATCCTGTCATAAAGAATCCATTAATAAAATTACTAATAACATTGATTTAAGATTTAATGAAACAATTAAAAACATTTGGAAGCAAAAGCGTGATTACAGTCAGAATGATTTTCATAAAATTCTGAGGATAATAGAAAATGAACTGAAATCTGTACCTCCTGAGGAAGATTACACATTTACCAGAGACTGCACCATTGACTTATCCTTGTGCTTATTCCAAAGAGCAGCTAAGAGTTTCAAGGAAATGCACAAAGCATTCAAGAGAGCAAATGATCCTGTAAACTATCTGGAGAGCAAGAAAGATGATTTCTTCATGAGTTTTAAGATCTCTTGCCAAGGCGCCACCTCTATCACATCATTTGTTGACTTCCTGTGGCTAAAGCTCACTCCTGCTATTTCTGCCACTATATGGGGCAAAATGTGTCCTAAAGTAGCTGGGGATATGAGAGCCACCTGCCCTGCATTTAATGGAAACAGGGCTAACCTGGAGAAACATGTTCTCATTTCTCTGGCAGAAGAAGAAAACTTTGATAAGTATTGGCAATACATTCATCAGCCAGAATCCTTTTTCAGGAATTACATTAGTGACCACATTAGAAGATACTGTTCAGAAAAAGAAGGTGAAAAAGTAAAAACTTTTTTAAAAATAAGTTTAGGTGACATCAAGCATGCCATCCTCACTGCCATTCATAAGACCACAGAAGTAGCTAAGGATAAAGGCAGCACTGCATCTGGTTGGTTGGATTTGTTCTGTGATCACTTAGGAAGCAACCTGACCTTTCCAAGGAGAGACCTGATAAGTATCGAGCACCTGGAGATAAAGGATACTGAGTTTCTGAAAGAAGCCATGAGTGCAGCTTTGGATCCTGCAATGAAGAAGGTAGAAGAGGACTGCACAAGTAAGCCCATAAATGAAATGGTTCCTGACGTTGAGAAACTTCTCTCTGAACATCTCAGTGGATGTTGGAAACAGTGTCCTTTTTGTAAAGCAATTTGTACCAATACCATTTCCCAACATGATGGAGACCACAGTGTGCCATTCCACCGTCCTCAGGCTGTCAATGGATGGAAATGGTACCGAACAAATGACTTTTGCATTGACCTTTGTACTAATTTAGTAGCAAGTAATTGTTTCCTTGTTTTAAATGATGGCAAGAAATTCCCATACAAGAAATATCGAGAAGCAGGAAGTGAGTATGCCACTTGGAGCATCACCCCAGATTCATCTACTCAGCCATATTGGAAATGGTTTGTCTGTCACTTCAGATTAAAGCTTGAAGAGAAATATGGAAAAAAATTTAAAAATAAAGGAGCTATTCCAGATTCATGGACCAAAATCAGAAAGCAAGAAGTACTTGATGACTTGAAAAAATAACTATTGCCACAAATAGAATACTAACACTGCCTCATAAATTTCACATTAACCTAGGAAGCCTAATATCAATTTAGGCAGCACCTTCAAGATTCTACCTTATAAATGAAATAAGTAAAAACAAATTAATTAGTATTTCAATATTGGAAGATTTGCTTCTAAAAAGACTTTTTCTCTCTTGATTTCTTGTGCTTAAACATAATGTCCTAATTATGTGAATTCATAATAAAATCAAAATTCATTCAAAAGCCTATTTCATATTTTATTATTTCTATATGTGTTTAAATAATTAGTAATTCAGGAAAAGTTGTCTTATTAGAAGAAGATGCTAGCATTTCTGGCTGCCATATATTCCTTTAGAACAACTGAATGGGAAATTCAACTTATATATACATCTGGGGAAATGCTAAAATTTGCTTTAAATTAGTTTAAATGGATGTTTTCACCCACTCTAGTTATGAAAAAAAAACCTTGCTAACTTTCAATGTATCAAACTTCATTGATTATTGAAGATCCCACAGTAGATCAATTTAAGTAGCCTCTGTTCTGGAAAAACTAAACCGGATTTGGTTAGGACAAAGCCATGAATTCAGCACTGCTTGATAAAGCAAGCTCAGATCTCACTAGGAAATCTCTGTTGGTCTCTACAGCTTCCCCTTCTTAGTATAATAATAAAGGGTCACTCAGACCCCTCAGACCCCTCAGATAGACTGTGTCTGTCTTAGGTTGTGTTCTTCAGCTAGACAAGCCTTACCCGTCATGGAGATATACCTTCTGTCAAGCATATTCTGTCTTAGGTTGGCAGCTAACAAGAAGAATGTTGCCCATCCCTGCCTACCAGCCTCTGGCAGGTGGGAGTACAGACCTTCACTTTTCTCCAACTCAGGTCTCTACTAAGAGCTTGCAAGTAGTTGGAACAACCATAGTGATCCCTAGGATGCCACACCCCACCCTCAGTAAAGAAGTAGAGGATGATAAAGATGGAATTTTCTTTTTTGAATGAATCTAAGATATCTATGACAGCCTTAGCTGTGCCAAGCTCTTTTTTAAATCAATAAACTGTTGATACAAATGCATCAAATAAATCACTAAACTCCAGACACAACTGTATGAAACTTAAAGACTCCCTTAGCTTCACCAAACCATGGTTCATTAACAACATAATTCTAGTATGAATTTTACTATACATATTTACAACTATACATATTTACTACATGTATTTACACTTATAAACTTACATTCAAAGGCAAAATCGCTATAGGACTATTTTGCAAACTTTAGCAAACATCTAAAAGAGATCTCTTAATAGAACTATTTACATTTTCTTCCAACAAGACAGAGAGTACATGAATCAAAATCACCACAGTTAAAATTCTTGGTGAACTCAAAACTGTTTCATTTCTGAGGTTTGCAGTTCACAGTCAGTTTTTATAACATCCTTAAAGTTCCACTAACAGTCTGAAATCAGAGCCTAATACATCAGTGGCTCTAGAGTCTTTGTAACCAACCCCCTCAAGCCCAGGATTCGGTGCATGCTGCTGTAAAGGGGCTGTAACACTTGAGGTGATGCCACTCCCCCAGAGCCCTCTTTCTTACCAGGCCTTCCCAGCCATTCTGGAACCAGTGAAAGTGAGTCCAGCAGCAGACAGTTGCCAGCTGGGTGGGCTGTCCCTTTACTCAAACTCATTGCAGCTCCCCTAAATGCCACAATTCAAACAAATGTTGCTGAAAACTTCACTCCCTGCTACAGCAGCACTTTATGACAGTCTTTCCCGGAGAACCTTGCTTCCAGTCAAGGATGGTCACCATAGTAACTGAGCTGCCTCTTTGATCAGCTAGTAGGACTCAGGAACTGCCTCTTAAAGGGGGCACACATTAATTTGCTGCTAGTAAACAGAAGTGGTATGACTCTGGTCTCTGTTTCATTTCAGCTTTTACTAAATAGCAAAAAAAACTTTGTCCCAAACTTCTTCTCAGCAGTCTGGGGGCGCTGTTAGTCTCCTGTTTTCCCCAGACTGCAGGATGGAACATCAATATGGGGAACATTGGTTCTGTCAGCAACTATGGTGTCATCAGAGCTGGCACTCCTCTGTTCCACACACTGCACCAAGCACTCAGTCAGCCATCAAGCTTCATTTGGTGACTGAGCGTACAATTCCCTCTTCTTGATTTTTGTTTTGAAACTGCATCTTAAGACTGCCATGAGCTCTTTCAACAATGCCTTGTTATTGATAGACTTTTATTAGTCCAATGTTTTCCCCCTTTCATCTCAAACACAACCCAAGTTCTTTATTTGCCCTTAAGCTTTTTCCACACCCAATGCAACTTCCCAATATACCAATCACTTTCTCTTGGTTTCTAAAGGGTCTCAAAGCAGCTTGGCAAACAGCATTAGCATTTAACTGCCTCCTGATAGCCAAGCTTTGTTCATCCATTTCCAGTTCCTGGGAGGTAAGGCTAACAAAGCTTGCAGAAAAATGGTGTTTGGGGCCAAAAGAAGGGGCATTTTAACTCCTTAAGTTATTTAAAAGGAATTGGAACATGAGCTCACATTAGCACACCTGCACTACTGTTTGACAGGTGTACCTTCCTAATCAAACTCCCCACCTAGCACTGTCCCCAGATCAGGTGCCTGCATGCACAGGCACTTGGGGCCAGAAGGGAGCCCCTTGGGGCTCACCCCCCGCCAAACCTCACTGGGTCAGTGAAAAAATTATGAGAGTACTTGAAGCAAGAGCCTTTTCAGAGTGATCCCCTCCCAGATAGATCCCCTTTGTCTCTGCCTGTCTCTTCCCCCCAGATCCAGTCCCTGACACCACTACCACTGCTCAGGCTTTCTGCTAGCCACTTTCTGTTCTGGGAGTAGGGGCTTGCATCCCCATTTCTGCCTCATTTGTATGGCCAAATGCAACCTCAGATTTTCCAAGGGCTTATAGACCTCTTACATGTTCTGACTTTCCTATCTGGCCAGCAGAGAAGAGAGAGGGATCATAGAGAATGACAGTTGACTATCATACACTGAATCAGGTAGTAGCTCCAACTGCAGCTGTTTTTCTGGATGTAGTGTCCTTACTTGATCAAGTTCACATCTCCTGGTATATGGTATGCAGCTATTGATCTAGCAAATACCTTTTCTTGGTACTTGTACATAAGGACCACCAGAAGCAATTTGGTTTCAGTTGGCAAGGCCAGCAGTATACCTTTACAGTTTTATCTCAAGAATATATTATCTATCCAGTCCTGTGTCATAACTTAGTTAGAAGGGATCTTGATTATCTATCTTTTCTACCCTATTGAGGACATTATGCTGATTGGACCAAGTGAGCAGGAGTTAGCAACCACATTGAATTCATTGGTAACACACATATGTATCAGAGGATGGGAAAACAAATCCAACCAAAATTTAAGGACCTTCTACCTCAGTGAAATTTTTAGGAGTCCAGTGGTGTAGGTCATGTAGAGATAGTCCTTCTAGATGAAGGATTAGTTATTGCACCTGGCCTCTCCCACCACAAAGAAAGAAGCACAAGCAGGCCAAGAGTTAGTTGTCTTGAGTGAACCTATTTGGATTCTGGAGATATCACATTCCTCACTTGAGTGTATCATTCTGACCCATATACCAATTGACTCAGAGGGCTGCTAGCTTTGTGGGGGACCTGGGACAGGATAATGTTGTACAACAGGTCCAGGCCACTGTGCAGGCTGCTTTACTACTTTTACGATATGATCCAGCAAAACCGTTGGTACTTGACGTGTCAGTGACAGATAGGGATGCTGTTTGGAGCCTGTGGCAGGCCCCTATAAGTGAATCACAGAAGAGACCATTGGGATTTTGGAGCAAGGCAGACAACTATTCTTCCTTTGAAAGACAACTAACTCTTGGCCTGCTATTGGGCCTTAGTAGAAACTGAACATTTTGCAATGGGTCACCAAGTTACTATGTGACCTGACCTGTCCATCATGAGCTATGCATTGTCTGACCCACAAAATCATAAAGTAGGATATACACAGAAACAACCCATTATCAAATGAAGGTGGTATATACATAAATTGACCCAAGCATGTTCTATAGGCAGAAACAAATTACATAAAGAAGTTGTCCAAATGCCTATGGTTTCTACTTTCATTACAATACCACCTGCTGCCAAGCATACACCTATAGCCTCATGTGGTGTGCCCTATGATAAGTTGACCGAGGAAGAGAAGACTAAGGCCTCATTTACTGATAGTTCTGTAAATTATGCACATACCACCCTACTGGGTGGTTTTATGTCAACTTGCAACAAGTTAGAGTCATCAGGGGAAGGAGCCTCCAATGAAAAAATGCCTCCTTGAGATCCAGCTGTAAAGCATTTTATCATTTAGTGATCAATGGTGGAGGGCCCAGCCCATGGTAGGTGGTACCATCCCAAGGGTGCTGGTTCTACAAGAAGGTGGGCTGAGCAAACCATAGGAAGCAAGCCAATAATCAGCTGACCTCCATGGCCTCTACATTAGCTCTTGCCTCCGGTATCCTGCCATGTTTGAGTTCCTGTTCTGACTTCCTTCAGTGATGAATAGTAATGCTAAAGTGTAAGTCCAATAAACCCTTTTCCCGCCAACTTGCTCTTTTGGTCATGGTGTTTCATTGTAGCAATAGAAACCTTAACTAAGACAACCATCTAGAAGTGGACATCTGCAGCATTACAATACTTTTCTCGGACAATCTGAAAAACACCGGAGAAAGGAAATCTTCACAGAGGGCAGAATTTCAGGCAGTACATATAGTAGTACATTTTGTTTGGAAAGAGAAATGGCCAGATTTACAATTCTTCACTGGTTCATGGGTTGTAACAAATGGGTTTGCTGAATGGTCAGGGACTTGAAAAGAGCATGATTGGAAAATTGGTGAGAAAGACATCTGGGAAGTATGTGGAAAAATCTAATCCAAATGCACAAAGGATGTAAAGATACTTATGTTCCATGTCAATGCTCATCAAAAGATGGATGCAACTGAGGAGTTTAATAATCAAGTAGATGTGACAACCCACTCCGGGAACAGTTAGCCTCTTTCACCAACCATTCCTGTCATTCCCAATGGGCCCATGAACAAAGTGGCCATGACAGAAGAGAAGGGGGTTATGCATGGGCTCAATAACATGGATTACCACTCACCAAGGCTCACCTGGCTGAAACTGCTGCTGAGTGCCAGATCTGATAACACCAGAGACAAACAAGGAGTCCTAGTTATTGCACCATTTCTATGGATGAACA